CAGCTTCAGGAGACCAGCAGTCACTGTCAGAATTCTATTCTTTTGTTTTGCATATTTGTTTTTTGTTTGCACATAATGGTTGGGCACATGAAGGAGAGTTTAATTTAAATTTTACATCTATATGCCTTTGGTAGGTAGAGGCTGAAGTAAACAGGGCAAGTCAAAGGAACGACAAGGAAAAAGAGATTTGATTGGGATACTTCAGTGAATTTTGACTATTTGGAAAAATATTTTAGTTTTCCATTTCATCTCTTACATTGTGCCAGCAGGAACAAGGCACGATGCGTCATAAGTCTACATTCCTTCCATTACCAGTGAAATTCATCTGTTTAGTTTGATGTGTTTTCAACCACCTGTCACAATAATACACTCATTAATAAGCCTGTGCAGGTTTATAATGGTTGAATATTTATGAGCTATGCAAATGTTCATTCTCTTTAATTCACAAGTGAAGACTAATGAAAACTTTGCTCTTTGTTCTTCAAGTAAAAAGCTCTGCTCTGGAATGTTGTTTAGGTAGGCAATGATTTGATGAAAATACGTAGGTAAATGGAGAATCCTTTGCTTATTCTCTGCTTTTTGTCTGAAGCTGTGCAACCACTTCAGCTTTAAAGCACCTTCTTCTGTTTTGTTATCTGACACTGAATATTTTTGATGACTTTGAAATGCATTGCATTTAAAAAGCAAAACAAAGACACAATGAAGTATCCAAGTGTTCTTCCCTCTTCTTGGTCCAGGTGCTTCCTGTGGTGAGTATGCAGTGCTTGTCAGAAACCAATGCCAGCAGAGCTCCTTGTGGTTTGCAGAGAGAGCCCACACAAAACCTTTTGGTCTTTCCTTAAGTACAAATCCTTGTCCCTGATCTCTTGTGACAGGGAAATGTGATGTATGTGCCTTTTCTGACATTTGCAAGTCACCTCCAAGTGTGTGAGGTAGGAATGCAGAGGTGCACCTTTCGGTCTCCTGAGCAATGCTGCTTGGTTTCTGCTCCACTGCTTTGAGGACTGCATGGAAGTTGGCAGACACCTGCCATCTCCTCCTGAACAGCAGTTGCTGTAAGAATGGTGAGAGGACTGAGTGAGAGAGGTTTATTTACCAACATTTATCACTTACTCAGAAAATGAACAATTTCTAGTGCTCATACCACATCGTCTTAAGTGGATTCCCTCTTAGCTCAGTGGTTTGAAGGCTGCCTCACTCAGCCAACAGGGCGAGCTCACCGCTGAATAGTTGGCTTGTCCAGTAACACCTGAGGATGGAAGCTCTTAACGTGGGAGCTCATGTCACCCTGGCTGGGGGTCAGCTTGAGCTAATTGAGTCTTAGTGTGTGAGCCTCTTTCTGTTTGTTTTAAATAGTGAATCAACATCACAAATAGGAGCCACTTCCACTCTCATAGTTCAAAGCACATTCAGAGAGTTTATAACTGCTAATGAGCAGCATTCCAGAGAAAGCAGAACTCGGGCTTCCAAGATTTGCACATATTGTGTTATGAGATGCTCGAGCTTGTGTGTTGTAAATAAGGTTTAGGAACTCCTCCATGTAGTTGTACTCTGGACCCCAACAAACTTTAGAAGAAATGTCTAATTGTGCTTGGATGTATTTTATAAACTGGGATGGCTTCAGCAGTCTGTGTGGCCTTCCATTCAGCTGTTTGCTTAAGCCAAGCCAAAAGCCACTTATCTAAAGATGATTTATTCTCACTCTTGAGCTGTCAGAACCGGGCTGGAAAGGGCAAAAGCTGAATCGTGGGGTTTAGTCTAAGTCTCTGTTTTCAGTCATCTCACAAGGGGAGCATGAAAGACTGGCCATAACATTGTTCTGCAAGGACCTTGTGGTTCTTTTGTACACTGCTTGTTGGACACCTATTTAAAATAAACAGCCATGGTATGTGATTGACTCAGATTTGAACTTTGCAGCTGTTCCTTTCTATTTGCCTGGTATGCCAAAGCAAAACCCTGCAGCTCAACATCTTTAAAATCAAAACCCTAATTCAAATATTATAATTTGGATCAACTTCTCACTTTCAATTTTTGTCAGTGTAAGCAAAATGGAGGCAATTCTGTTTCTTTGTCTAGTTTAGAAAAATAGATGTTGTTTTGTGTACTTTAAATACAGACATACTGTGTAGTAAAAGACAACAGTTGAATAGTCCTAACTAGAGATGTGAAAGTACGATTGGAGGCAGTGTATCTGGCTGTCAGAATTGCATCTGAGGAAAAAGAGTTTTTGCAATGTTTTAGGATGGTTTGGTTTGTTAGATTTAAACAACCAAAACAGTTTTGCATTTGAGAACTCTTATTCTCTTTGGATGTTTTAAGGTGGTGTTCTCAGTGATACCTTTTCACTGTGTTAGACTTCACTGAAAGCAGAGGATGACCATCAGTTCTGGTAGCCAGGTAAATGAGGCTGAAGGTTGAGTTTTGACCCATCCAAGAGCTGTGCTGCCCAGTCAAGGAATGTGGGTTATGTGGTGTGGCAGAATGGCACTGCCAAGACTCTCGTGCTGCCATGGTGTGTGGCTCATGTGGGCACATGTGTGCAGGCCATCCATGATTCCCAGCCTGGATGGCCTCCTTCCACACCAGTGCCATGGAATGCAGTAGTAAAATTGGGGGAGGCTCTAATGACTAAGGGGTGAGGCTACTTTTTGTAATCTGCTTCTTCAGCGAAGATTACTTTGAATGAGTTAATACCAAAAGGGTTAAAGAACCTGTGTGTATTTTGAATTTGGGTTGTCAAAGCAAATATTTTGACAGTCAGTGAGAAGTGGATAGTGAGTGGCATGCTGTGAAGAACATACAATTCTGTCATGGAAAAAACTTGCTGAGGGATGGGAAACAGAGAGGAAGAATAAACAGCTAGTTTTCAGCCTTGCAAGGGCCTGCTTTGAGTTTCTGTTGAGCAAAATTAAAAAAATAAAAAAAAAAATAAAAGAAGCAGGGGCTGAGCAGAGTGTAGCTTCATGAAGCACAGTTATTTAGCACAGTCTGTAGCTGGAAAGGCTTCCATGCACGGCACAAACACTGTTGGAGCCACATGAGAGCTATTTAGGTTCATTGGGAAAACCAAAGCGGGGGAGAAGGTTGTTCGAAGGAAAAGGTTAACTACATGAACATGACTGACTTCGTCTGCAATCTTTCCTTGATGATTCTCAGAAGGAAATGCTACTGCTCCTCCTCTGGGCTCACCATCCTACTTTATATGTTTCTGCCTAATAAAAAGAAGTTGTAGGTGAGCGGTGCTCTCATTTCAGCGTGTCACTAGTGCAAGGAAAATATTGTGCAGAAGTTCTTCCATGGATAAGGGTACATTGGTTTGTTTGTTGGCTCTTGATATGTTTTGCACCAGAATGATTTCAGTTGGAAAAGAACCCCCATGGTTTGGTCTTTTATTCTATTATAGCATACCATGTTTCTTATCAGTGACCTGTTTTTATGGCTGCCAGTGTTAGTCTAGAATTTCCACTTACCTGAGTAAATATGAACTTTGTTTTCATCTGTGTTCAATAAATGGTGTTTTATATTCAGTGGTACAAAGTCAGCAGTAACAGCCATTATGGGTGTTTGGCTCTTGTGTCCCTTCCACGTCACTGAAAATCCTGGAATTACAAAGATGAGGAGTTCATATGGGTACAGTCCTTGCAGAAAAATACAGTTTCTAGAGCTATTTGGAGCATCTCAAACAAAAATAAAGACATTTTCAATTGAATTCTCTTTAATCATGCAAATGACATCAGAAGAATGTAGGTTTGTAGTGGACATTTCCTACATTCCAGTCATTATTTAAAGTGGAAATACTGAGCAAATTAACTTTCTTTGGCAGGCTGACACTTCAGCTCTCTGTTATTACAAAGGGTGTATCTGAGTCATTAGCATGTCAGGTTGCTTGAAAACCTAATGCTCTTCTCTTGCCCTTCCCCCCTCAATGGAAAATCAGGGAGCTGTTGTCTCAGTAGGTCTAAGAGCCCCTTTTTAAGGCAATGCCATAACACTGAACTATGGGAGACAAATTCTGTTGTTGGTACATCAGTTTAAGCTTCTTATGCCAAAGGAATCTGCAGATCTAGATGATTCACTACAACTAGAATAGGAGGGAGCAGAAATTTCTGGATGAAATTCTGAATGTGTGAAGTTGTGTGTGTGTGTGTTTCATTTTGTATTCAGGGGGACTAATATTCAATCACCGTACTCAGGACTCCTAAGAAATTAAATACCAACCCCATGACAAACCTAAGAAAAATATTGGGTTGTCTGTTTTTCTGACATCTGTTGACTGCAGCAGCGCAGCAGTGAGGTCCAGATCTGGTTCTTGACTTTTGCCTCCAGTTCAATATCGGTATTTGGGGTTTTGTGAGGAAAACTTGGAAGTGCTACATTCTCATAACGGAGGGGGTAACATGAGGGCATTTCCTGCTCCCACCCTTGCTTTCAGGCGACACTATTCCAGTTCAAGAGCAGATGCATGTGCAATGACCTGTTTGTTATTTTGAGGCCGTTATTTGGATAGGAATTGGAAGTGTAGTGATCTCTGCCTCTTGTACTAAGATAAGTGTAGCTCTGGGAATGTCATCAGCCCCTGTTGAAAGGCAGCGCTGTGGCCTGGGGAAAGCCCTGGGGAACACTTTGCTGCGGTCACAGCATGCAAGAGCTGTGGAAGAGGGGAATTGAGGGCAGTTAGGAAGCTCAAGGCTGGCTGGCTGGCAACTCCTGTCGCTGGGGCTTTTGGCCACTTGGCTGTGACTGGGGCGCTTTTCCACAGATTCCTGTTTACACTGGTGTAAGTCGCCGGAGGCTGCCGGTGCTTGGCAGCAGTTCAGGATGAGGTGGGTGACATACCTGCAGGCAGATTGTTTTCCTGAAACACCGGCGCACACCTACATCCTGAATGCAGGGAAGCACCACTCCTTGCAAAACCCATGCTTCAAAGGGGTCACCACATCACAGGGTGAGCTGTCTGCAACTGTAACCTTGTTCACGTCTTCTTGAGGCGGGGTTGGCTCTGCCACAGTCTGAAACCGGGACACCCGGAAGGTTGGACCGAGATTCCTCCATTGCCCCTTGCACCTTGGCGCCCGTGGCATGTGGAGCTGTGTTCAGCCTCTGTCCCGAAGGCGGGCTGTGCTGCCTCCCCAAAGTGAAGTCAGGAGCCGCACATCTGTGAAAGTGCTTAAACGTGTCCGAACATTTTGCTGGGCGACTGCCAGCACCCTCGGTTATTTGGACCAGCAGAAGATGGTGGGGGTGTGGTGGTAGGAGTGGGTGGGACCGCTGGGTGTTACTGAGACCTTTGCTTGCAAAGTGTTTGACAAACACCCACCATGGGATGGGGCACGGCAGATACTGTAAGTATTGGCAGCAGTGGGGGGGGAGATTAATTATTCCCCTGGAATGAATGAGGGAGGTTTCCAGCAGGCTCTGTTTGACCAGCCCTGGCTAGAGCTTTGTATGTTGATGTGAATCTGCGCCAGATCTGGGTTTGTTGTGGGGGTGGAAATGATCTTTTCTCACTGCTGATGTGTTTTCTCTTCTTTTCTTGTAGGTGTGTGATGTGAAACAGYGGGCAGTCCTTGTAGCCTCCCCCACCAGCCTGCAGTGTCATGTGCCAGTATGAATAGTAAGAAAGCAAAGCATACTTCAGAGCTCAGCATCCCAGAAAGAAAAAAGGAGGAACTAAACAGAGAGAACAAATGATTGCTCTGCTTGCAAAACTTGGGGCTGTTCACTTTTTCTCCTGAGAGGCTTCATCTTGGCCTCTGTGAGGAAGCTGGGAAAGAGCAGCCACAGTGATTTTCTTAGGGTCTTTTTTACCTTTTTTTAATTTAATTTTTTTCTCCTTCGTGCCTGGATTTCAAGACTGCTGCACTGATCACAAACACTGGACATCAATATGTGTCATGTCATTGTAACGTGCCGGTCGATGCTGTGGACCCTGCTGAGTATCGTGGTGGCTTTCGCGGAGCTCATTGCCTTCATGAGCGCGGACTGGCTGATCGGCAAAGCGAAGCCCTCGAGCTCCGAGGAYGGGGACAACAGAACGGGGGGGACGCAGGAGCCCTACCGCCCAACGCTGGGYATCTACTGGCGCTGCATCAGGGTGTCCCACATGCAGCTCTCTCGACGAGACAAGCTTTGTGGCCCTTACGCTGAAAGCTTCAGTGAGATTGCCAGTGGGTTCTGGCAGGCTACCGCTATTTTCCTTGCCATGGGAATCGTGATTCTCTGCACCGTGGCGTTGGTGTCTGTCTTTACTATGTGTGTGCAGAGTATCATGAAGAAAAGCATTTTCAATGTCTGTGGGCTGCTACAAGGGATTGCAGGTACGTGCACTTTGAGAGCAACTAAAATTTTTAATTTTGGGGAAATTCAGATGAAGAAATGTAGCGATTCAGGCCTGCCTGCAGACAGACTGCTTTAGGCAGACCCAAAGTGATTCTATACTCTGGTGTTTATTCAAACATAACTGAAATTTAGAGCTGCACAGCATGTAATACATTATCATTGGCAGCAGAATTGTAACCTGATGTGTGCCAAGATGAACTGACCAGCGTTGCTTTTGTTTGCTGTTCATTTTTTTCTTCTGTTTGAATTTCTTTCAGTTACAAAAACTTCTGTCCTTTGCTACCAGCAGAGAACAAAGTTAATACTCGTATTAAGGCAGTCTATCTCTCTCTCACTACTTTAGTAATTTWTCCATGGACCAAAGGCAGTTCCCTCAGTGTCTTGGAGGCTTCGTGACTGTGGTGAGAGTAAATACCATCCCAGGGCTAAGAACTTGCTGGAGTCACACATCCAGTTCCTCCAGCATTTCATGCTAAGCAGCCTCCTTCAAAGCTTAAGTTTGACAAGTGATACCTTGCGATAAACCTTTCCTTTAGCCAGCTCATTGTTCAGCTGCACTTACACAGCCCAGTGAGCTTATCTTTTCACTGTCCAAGGATCACCTGTGCTTTGCCTGAAAAGACAAATTTGTTCTAGAGGTTTGGTGTTTCTGCTTAAACCCATAGATGTTACAGARGTTAAATGACTGTTAATAAACCAGTCCTGGACAGCCTTAGTAAGAGAAGTATTCGTCTTTCTGTATTCACCAGTGAGCCACAGGGAAAACCTGTCTCATACAGAGGTTTTCATCTTTCGTGCTCTGTGTGTGGTCATCTGGAGGAGGAGAGTGGTCTTCTGCCCTGCCTTGGCAGCCCTCAGAGACCTGTGAGGAGGGAGGGAATGAGCAGGGCCACCTCCTCTTTCTCTCTTGGTGGTGCTCTCAAGCAGATGTTTTCAATTCATGGAATTATTTAATCACAATAAAAATTAGGTTTTAACTTGTTTTGCTCAAAATGTGAATCCAGCTTTCCCCTTTTTCACCTCTGCTGAGGTGGCCAAACACGTCTGTGATGGCTGTACTTAAACAGGAGGTGTAATAATAGATATTCAAACCTTTCTCTGAAGCTGGATGGTTTGCTTAATTGAAATCTAACTTAATCTTATTCTTAACACACATGGGGAAGTAGGTGAAAACTGACTTTACTGCCTGCTGCAACCCTCCAGAGCCAGCGTTACACACCAGGGACTGGCTGATTCTGGCTCCTAAAGCATAACCACAGTGGCTCTCACCATTGYCTACTTCATGCTTCTTCAGTATAGAAGCATAACACCTTTTTCATGTCACCCACAATGTAAAGTTTGTGCTTCTGGAGCAGAATGAGATCCCTAGATTGGCTAAAGATGCTTCTGTTCATATGATGGCATACAGTTAGCATATCAGGGTCCTTCAGATAAATATGACAGGTTTTGCTGTAGTTACTTCTGGCACGCAGAATTTGCCGGAACCAATGTGACAAGGAAGCAGCTTGGCAGTGCAGATGAAGCCAGGGGAAGTTGTTAGTTTCTTGCTTCCTCACTCTATACTTCAGAAATACTCCATGACTGTTTTTTAGGAGATGCAGTTATTACTTGTTTTCTGTTGGAGGAGTATTTGTATGGGAAAGATTGCTTAGCAGCATAAATAGATCTTGGGCATGTCAGATTTGGGTCTTTAGAAAAGCTAACTTTACTTACAACTCTGATACCATCTCAAAGTACCAAGTCTATTGCTTAGTGTTAGCAGGTAGTAGGTACTTGTATCTTAGAATGGCAKTCTGTGAGAAAAATACATGCAAAGACAGTTTTATGTTTTGTTATCAATCCAGCTGTACCTGTAATGGGACTTGCAGKCTAAAACATTGAACACTACAGCTGACAAAGCATTTCTTACGTGTTAGGGCATAGATCAGTTCTCCTTGTACRGAGCCTAGAAGGACTTCCCTTCTTACAATTCAGATAAATGACACAGCATGAAACTGGTAAGAGAAAGGTCACCTTACTGAAACGTTGCTATGAGAAGTGTGTCTGCCAATATTTACAGCCAGGCGTCTTGTGACTCACAGCTCGTTTTCTCAAGATTAGTTTTATTGGGTCCACTGCTACTTTTGTGCCAGTAGCATTACAACATCTGCTTACTTAGTTTCAATTATTTTCCTTATGACTAATGATGGTTGCTAATTTCAGCTTTCTCAGTTCCTGAGTTTTGAAAAATGCTTAAGCAAGTTGCTCAAGAGGGACAGTTGTCAACATGGTTAATCCATTCAGGGGTTATGATTGATAAACTAATACCCTGACCAGAGAACAGGAGAAAATCCTACTTTAATCATTTTAAGCATAACATCATTCTTTCAAATGTGAACAATTATGTTTTTAATAAGCGTAGGAGAACAATTCACAAAATAATTTTGTTAATCAGCCCATATCAGTGCAATATTTGCAAGTATGTCAAACATCTCCTTTTCAAAGATGAGATGCACACATGGTAGAGTCATCCACAGGAACTCAGGATCTTGCAGACTTAATCTCATTTAAAATCTCTATATCTTTGCAGTAGAGATTTAATGTAATTAAAAACATACAACAACTTAATTTATTCCTGGAATTCATCATGACAAAACAATAACAGACACCGGATATATCTTTCCAGTCTAGCACGATTGGTTGTGATCTGGATGATGCCTAAGGTGAAATTACAAAACAGAAAGCAACGTCTCTTCTGTTAYGGCCCTTGGACAAATGTGCAAACACTCATTTAGGTCAACAGGAAGAAGCCATACATATATCTGGACCATAGGCATTTTAAAAAATTATTTTTATGGTAGAAAATGAGAAGGTGGTTGAAAAGGAAGAAGCTATGGCTCTTATTTAAACTCCTGTAATTCCTTTTTTATAGAGCAAGAAGTTCTACCACRTACTTTCAGACTGTAGTGCCTTTCATTCTGCAGCTATAGAAACAGTAATCAGTAGCCCTGGTTTTGGAGATGTTTGAGGATTGTTTCATCTGGATAAGCATCTTTTCTTTGCATTAGAGAGTGCAGGGAATGGAGCCATGTAATTGAATAGATAATTAGTACCCAGCAGCAAGAAGACCAGGCAGATTTTCATTTGCATGTCTTTTTAAGGAAAGTATTCTACTTTTAGTCTGTGAATCACTTGAAATGCAGAAGCTAAAGGAGGAAGGATATTATTACATGCCAGCTGACAAGACTCAATTCAAAGTAAATTTTCACAGTAATCATGTAGCTATAGGAAGTAAATAATTGGTGATCCCCTATTGACATACCATATGTGCATAGTGTAGTTGCATATGTGTTTACACATCTTATTTGGGCTTGTGTACTTCACTTAGTTGCTAAGTAATGTAATATAAACATAACCTAGCCTCAAAGGAGGGCGGGAAGAGCTTAGAGCTGAAACCAGGTTTGGCTTCCATCTCTGACAGTTTCCTCTATGATATTCTTAGTCAACAACTTGGCTTTTTTTTTTTTTTTTTTTTTTTTTGCCCTTTGTCATGGTTGGGCAGACAGAACTCCTTCCCTACAGCCAGTGCCTGCCTGACTTGCAGCTGAGCCACCACACCTGGGAGGAAGCTGAATTAGCTGCACCAATATTATCTCAATCACAGAACTTGAGCAAGCCCCTGTGTTTCCTTGTGGGGAGCTCAACATCATGTGCCTGCAAAGGCTTTGGGAAGAGCAGTGGGAAAAGGGAGCTGACATCAGAAAGGCTTATGGATTTGGAACTTCAGTTTGCTCTTCAGTACTGCTCTTTTGCCATGCTGAGGCCTTGCCAGGCACATTTACCAGAGGAGGATAAAGTAGTTTCTCTTCTCTAAAGTCTTTCCAGGGTGCTGATGGCTTCGCCTGGGAGGCCCCTCATGGGTCACCCCTTTTCATCTCTTCCTCAGTTCACAGTCCACTGTCTCCTAGCCCAAATGAGGCTCGACTAAACTGGTTCCTGATAAAAGCATGGGGGAAAAAGCATGTAAAAATTGGGTTGCATCAGTCAGAAGACCAGCTGTGTCCCAGGTGCACACCAAGGGTTGTCTCTGGTTTATTCAGGTGAATGCATGGCTGCATTTTGCTGTAGTGTGGCTTAGCTGGCTGTGCCGCTGGCAGCTGCACCTTTGACAGGTATATGACCAGCCAGCCGAAGCAAAGGTTTATGTGTGCAAACACTGCTACAGGCAGGCCAGAGAGCATTCAGTTTGCTTGGACACTCAGTTTAAATCTGTGTGCTTGGGCTCAGATGCCACAGTCTTGGGCCTCCCTCTTTCACCCCAGAGTTTCTCCTCCAGCACTGCTGGGGAGTGACTCAGCTTCTTCCTTTCCATGGTCAGAGAGGCTTGTTTTTATCCCTGACACTTGTCCGGCTCGGTCCCAAGCAATGATGTCTCTTCCACAGTACTTTCTCTTCTCAGGTGTCTGACAAGCTCTCCTGCATTCTTTTTTCTGACCTTTTCATGATCCTGCATTCTTTTTTTTCTGATCTTTGCATTATTTTTCTCTATAACTGTTCATGTCTTCTCCTTTTCCCTTCTTGGTGTCTTGGAGGGCTCCTCCATCAGCAGCTGCTGCAGTACCTTGGCCGTGGTTCACTTCCAGGTGTGCAGCTTTACTCTCAAATGCAAGGAAACTTCTCTGCAGCTTTCTARAATGAAGAAGTGAAAGTCAGTTTGAAGCTGTGTATGTAACAGTCTATCTTTGCTGCTGACTTTGTTTTACATATCTTGCAGTGAGAAATTGTTCAGCCTGTTATACTTATTTGGCATTGTTTTCATTTTGGGAGGCTGTGTGATTAGGAGGACAGCCTGAGCAGAGTGTGATGGGAACCATCTGAAGGGGACAAGGGTCTGGAGCTGCTTGTGGGGGTGGCTGAAGTAGGATGAGCCGCACAGGGTGGGCTCGTGGTGTGTGCAGCCGTGCRAGTGCAGACTCCTGGCTGCTGGAAGGTGAGGAGG